AGATATTATAAAAGGTAAATTAAAATTTCAGTGAAGATGTACCATAGGAAAGTGATAAATGTTTAATAATTATTTTTGAACTATTTTGAGTTTTTTTAATCCAAATGGGTAAGATATATATTGTAAACATGATAAATTAATATTTCAGTAGATGTACCACAGGAAAGTGACAATTGTCATAATCATCATTTTTGAGCTTTTTTGAATTTTTTTAAGACAAATGGGTAAAAATATATATTGCAAACATGTTAATTTCAGTGAAGATGTACCATATAAAAGTGACAATTATCATAATGGTTATTTTTGAATTTTTTTTAAGCAAATGAGTTAAAATAGATATTGTAAACACATAGGCCTAGGTAGCCAATTTTCCTTAGGGGGGAGGGGGTTGGGATTAAAAAATCAAGATAGAATGTTATACCTAGAACAAATATGAAATATGTTGTAATGATACAATTTAATTGTTTCAATTTATTTTATGTTATGTATTTAAAGTTGTTTTGATTTAATTACATTTACGTTTAGTATTACTTTTTGACAAATGTTTCACTGAAGGCGAAAAATGATATATAGTTTTTTATGTAATTGATTTAATTTACATATAAAAACCATCTTAGATAATAATTTGATATCAGTAATACTTTACTTTACAAAATTTGTTATTTAATAAAAGAATTTATTCCCATATCAATATTCTTTCAATAGGATTCTTAATAAAATTGAATTGATATTTATATTCGTTCAACAAAATATATTTTTATTAGTTTATATATAATTAATAAATTACTTGTATATATGCAGCCCTAGATGAAATGCTTCCACCATTTCATGGTAAATGCCCATTCAGGCAATACATGTCAAACAAACCATCAAAATATGGTATAAAACTATACTCCTTATAAAAAAAAATATTTTTGTCAAATATTTAAAATAAATTTATGTTTAGAACACATTAATATTTTATGTAATAAATGTTTTGTATGTCATTAGCATATTTCAATGTTCTATATTTTTTATATATTAGATTGTATTAGTGTAATTTTTTTTTTATATTAAAGAATAAAGATCCATATTATGAATTATCATGATTATATGATAGATAAGTTATTTTTTTAATTTTATATTTGAAATTTAAAAAAAGTAAGCTTTTTTAAAAAATGACACAAATTATAATTATTCTCATCATATTTAATCTAGGCTTAAGAAATAGAAATATTTAAATATTTTATCTAGGTTAAGGTTAGATCTATCTTATATTCAATCAAATAAAAATAATGAATATTACTGGAGATATATACATTTGAAATTGGTTTCTATTAAACCCAACCCGAGTACTAACGTCATTTTTAATACAGGAGTATTGAAGGGTTAAGTATCTCTATTTCCACAAATAATAAAATAAAATTTTTTTATTGCATATTAATAATATATCCATAGTGTCATCCCCAACTTTAAAGCGGCGATCAGAAAGTATAATCCTAATAAATAATCGTTCTTATTGTCTGATGATAAAATGAGATGATATTTAATTGCAATTTTATATTTATAATATAATTCATAAATATCCATTAAACTATCCCATAAACCAATATATCTTAAAAACTTTTATATTGATTCACATTTTATTTAAAGATAAGGATTGGACTATACATTAATATTATGGTTTAAATATTTGCTCGTTGAAGCTACTAGTTGTATTTGATAATAAAACCTACCTGTATAAATTACAATGAAAATTGAAATTCATACCTTGTGTTTTTTTATCGAGATTAAAATTTATGCGAAGGAAAATAAAATTACATATCATTGTACAATGAAATAACTTTGTTTGTATATATTATCTTTCAATATCTCTATCGTCGACATTTTAAAAACTAGATTTTGTAGATTCCTAAATATTAATTTAAAACTTAAAAGATTAAGATTTTAGAATTAAATATATTTTAATAATTTTTGTGTGTATTTATTATATTAACAATTGTCAGTTTTATATGGTACATCTTCACAGAATTTTAGTTTAACATGTTTAGAATATATATTTTTACTCATTTGGTTTAAAAATTCTAAAATTTCAAAAATAACGATTATGACATTTGTCACTTTCCTATGGTACATCTTCACTGAAATTTTAATTGAACATTTTACAATATCTATTTTTAACCATTTGTTAAAAAAAAATCCTAATAAGTTGAAGTCGTAAGAAACGACCTGATGTTTAAATTTGAGTCGAAAAACAAACTTTGAATCTGAGTCGAAAAAACGACCCAAACTTTGAGTCGTGGTCGAAAAGACGACCCATATTTTGAGTCGAGGTCTTTTTTTCCGGATTGAACTCGGGTCGAGTTAAAAAACGACCCAAACCCTGACTCAAACTTTGAGTCGAAGTCGAAAAAACGACCAAAATTTTGGTTAGCTCTGTTTGAACTGACTAGGCTAAGCCGATTAGCAACTAACCAATAGTGTATATAAACCATAGGATGTTTTTGATTATTAGCGGGTTTTTAACCAAAAAGCAGCCCACACGTTGTTTTGACTATTTTTTTAACCCGCCGGCATACTTATAATTTAAAAAAAAATTTTATCCAACCGTTTACTCGCATATTTATCTATATATTTTATTTAACCCCCCCCCCCCCCCTTTATAAAAAATATTTTGATGGCTGACTTAGCTCTTTAATTATTTATTTTGATCTATTTTTAATTAAGCATTTATATTATACAATATTATGAAATAAAACTATTATTTTAAATAAATTGAAGTCTGTCTGCTCACTTCGCTTGAAAAGTAAAAATAATTCATCTACCCAAGCCCGCTCACAACCTTAATATATTTTAACCCGCCAGCACCTGCTCAATGTTGTAAATATTTTTTGAACTCGCTAAAATATAGGTGGACATGCGGACTAAAAACTCGTGTATTGCAAATACACCAGAAAATAAATATTTTATAATAATTAGGTATCATAAAGTAACGATGAGATGGCATATAGATGGCGTCAGTGGCGTAGCTACGGGGGTGGTTTTCGGGTTTGGACCCCTCCCAGAGCAAATTTTTTTTTAGATTATACGTTCAAAAGACTTAAAAGTGACTTTATATCAAATAAATACCATTAATATTTATATTTTTCTGGTTTTGATGTTTGTGGAAGGATATTATATTACTAATGAAATTAATCTGGGTAGTATTATTATAAAGTCATTGAAAATAATTTACTAAATTATAATAACATATTATTCATGCATTTATTTATTATTTGTCAAAGATGTGGTTATGATTTTTATGATAAACCCGGCCGAAGGCCCGTTAAAGGGGGTCTGGGAGCGAAGCCCCCAGGATTTTATATGTATGGACCCCCTCTAAGAAAAATTCCTAGCTACGCCACTGGATGGCGTGATGTAACATTACCTCATATATCTATAGATAATAATATAGAAAAGTCTTCATTATATTATTTTATATCCATGAATTTTAACATATCTTTTATGTTAATGGAAGGCTTAAAGAAAAACAAAAAATAAATAAATTTTTATTTCATTTTTTATTAATACTTTTTAACACTAAAATATTTAACATTTTGTGTTCTATATATATGCAATTTAATTTTTACACTTTTTACATTTTTTACATATTGAAATAATAAGTTTTTTAAAAGGTTATATAAAAAAATAATTTCGACAAGTTCGTCCTTAATTTTATAAAAAGTAAAAGAAAATTTACGAAAAGGTCATTTAATTTATTTTACAAAAAGAAAAATAAAAAATTTTTTATATTCAAAAAATTATCTAATTAACAATATCTCTTTCAAATATTTTTGATTTATTAAATTTAAATGGCAGAAAAAATCCCTCAAATGTAACTTATTCAGCGTCTACATGACAGGATTTTCACTGGATGTAAATCCCTTTCAAAAACCTATGCCTACCCTCCTAAAAAATTTTCGCCGCCTTCTGTGACAATGTTTTCCTATTTTTAATTTTACCTGTTTAATTACAATGATATTCTTTCAAAAAATTTAAAAAGAATAGCTTAAATTATTTTATCTTTACTATCAACTTTCGTCATTTTGTGAATATAAAGAAGTTATTTTTTAGATAATAAATTAAATGAAAACCCCCATTATTTATAAATTGATTATTATAGCATTATGATCTTGCTGAAAATGTCTAAACCTTTTAACAACATTTAAAAGGATAGCGAAAGTTTTTTTTGGAAAATAATGTCTCTGATTATTTGCAATATATATTTGGTTGATAAATTGTATTATAATAGGTCTATAATAAAGTATTAATTTTTACAGCAATAAATTTTGTCCTATTCGATCTCAAAATTTAATAGATAACCCTCCCCCCTCCCCAATTTTTTTATCCTACCCCCATCAAGGCCGCCTACCTTCTACACCCCTGAAAAAAAGGATGCACAACTGTTCCTACTCCCCCCCCTTCAGTTTATGTAGACGCTAAACTTATAATAAAGCCATCACAATTTTTAAGTATAAACAATCTGCTTCACGTGATATGTGATATTAAGCGCACTAGCCCTAAACGTCATATATATACCAGATATATATATATACAACACAGAGCAACGCTTGGTTCTCTCATGAAAAGCCCATCAAACTGGGATAAAAGATGGGAAATAATTTTGGGCAGACCATAGTTACCTGTGCATGCAAGAGGCAAAGCCCCATACTTTAACGCCCATCGTAAATAAGAGGAGAGGTAAAAAGCCCATCCCCTATTAAATAAAAAATATGATTATGGGAGGGTTATATTGGCTATATTTATTTTGTTGTTAATTAATATGAAAACCTAATAAACATTATTAAATAAAATAAATACCAGTACAAATACAGTACTATCACTTATTCTTCTAAAAAAATTTACACCAGATGAACCGCACCATCAAAAAAACAATCTAACAATCTGTTTTAGATTTGATTTATTATTTCACATAATTGGCATAATTTATATTCGATTAGGTGACTTATAAATTGAAATAAGCATATTCCGATTTTGATAGGTACTAATTTAATATACTAGAAGGCAAAACAATTTTATCACATATCACGTAATTTCTAAATGAAATAGAAATTAGACCCTATATGTCCCAAAAAAATAAAAAAGAATCTACTAAAACAGTACAAAAAAAAAATGAAAAAATTATAGAGGTTATTTAAAGATATTTTTATTTAATACTATTTCTTTTTTAGGATAAAACATTTGGTTTAAAAAATAAAAAGGGTTCTAAACAACAAAAGTTTATAAAAACTGTTACACATCAAATTGCAAATGATCCAAATCAGAACAAAGTTAGAAATTTTTGAATTTATCCATTTATCTCATTTTAAGAAATTAAACAAAGAAAAAGCTAAAAAGGATGATTTATTGGAAGATATCACTAAAATTTTTAAGCCTGTTGTACAAGAGCAAAAAATCAATAAAGGTAAAATTTAACATTTGATATAACCAATTTAGATATTTTTAGGTGTTGATCCAAAATCTATGCTATGTGCCTTTTTTAAGCAGAATATATGTGGAAAAGGAGACAAATGTAAATTCTCTCATGATCTAGCTTGTGAAAGAAAGGGTGAGAAACGTAGTATGTATATAGATGCACGTACTGAAGGTGATTTGCATTATTTGATTATGATTAACATAAAAATTAATTTTGATTTATTTACCATATTTTTAATATAAAAAAATATCAAGTGTTTAAAATCAATTAATAGAATATTACAATGCAACATATGTTAGAGGCACTAACTTCATGAAAGCTGTGGGGCTATTTCTCCTACTTTAAAAAATTAATATGGATTCTAAAAAAATTGATACTTAATTTCATATCATTTTCTCTATTTAAAAAATAATTATTAAATATTTAATGTTTTTAAACTTTTTCTTATATATTTTCAATTTGGCTAAATTTCTTTACAGACCTTTATGTTTTATTTTATGATATTATTTTATTCTTTTTGTTAAAATTGTATGGGGACTTAAATATCTCTACTTTTTACAAATGGTGATAGAAAAAATGCCTTTGTTCCTGCTGATATTGGAAAAAGCCACCTGTAAGGCTGAAACTTCTTTTATATACTGCCTATTTTAGACCTATGCACCAAAGTCTCAATTGGCAGTAGTTTTCATAAATTTTTCACTACACTAAATTTGCGTATAATAAATTGGTGGTGTTACATATTTTAAAATGAAATTAATTTTTAATTTATTGTATTAAATTTTCCAAATAATTTATTCGATCACTCTTAATTTCAATATTGTTGATATATATATAAATTTATGTATATCTCATTTGAGATAGACTAAAGGATACCTTTACTCAGGTCAGAGTCATCAGTAATATTCTATTGATTTATTAAAACAAATTTTTATATAAATAAATTAGAAATCAAATTTAGCTAAATTATATTATCACAAATAAATATTATTTTTGAGATTGGTAGGGCAAAAGAAGGTTCTTTTAATATTGAGTATTAATCCAGATAAAAAGATTATTTCACTAGGTGTATTGGTTGCAGGAGTGCAAAGTACTTTCCTAGCCCAATTAGTAAGTCTATGAAGTTCCAGTCACCTTTTCCCCAAAAGATTATTGGCAATTGTTCTAATATTGTAAAGTAAATGTGATCTTCCTCTAGATTGCTATTATAATTATGCAAACTATTTTAGCTATATATGAATGGGAAATTTGCCCACTATCTTCAACTTGAATCCCACTCTCTTTACACCAAATTAGATTATTTATAAACTTTTATTTCTTAAAAGTATACTTCAATAATGGCTAAAAAATTTGGATTTGATTCTATCTACATTGATGGAAAAATCTGCTAAGCATGGCGAAATGAGTAAATTTATTTTAATCATTTTCAAAGCTGAGCTACATTTCCATAAAATACCCAAGCCAATTTGATAGTTTTTGGTAAACAACAATTACCTTTATTTTAGCCAGTTGATTAAAAATGGAAAGAATACCTATACCCACCTATACTTATTTTAGAGTATAAAATATTTAAAAAGTTAAGTATAAAATAAAAATGCTGATCAAAATATTAGATGTAAAATGGCATGTTTTAGAGAAATCAATTTAACAACAAAGAATTAAATTTAAGGAAGGAACTTCTTTTTTTACATTTAACAAAAATTTAATTAAACATAAGTATTTTTTTCAAGGTTTGAACATATTCTATAAGAAAATTTTAGCCCACATATATATTTATTCATGTTTAAAATAGTCTAAATTTTTTTAAATGTTTATAATTCATATTCTCAATAGATGAAACTATGGAAAATTGGGATGAATCAAAACTGGAAGAGGTTGTTTCCAAAAAACACAGTGAAGAGAATAAATCAAATAAAACAGATATTGTAATATTTAAAATTATTTTCAATGTTAATTTTTTGAATAGATTTGCAAACATTTTTTAAAGGCTCTTGAAGATAATAAGTATGGATGGTTTTGGGAATGCCCTGATGGGGGAGATAAATGTTTTTATAAGCACGCTCTTCCTCCGGGCTTTACTTTAAAAAGGAATATTCCAGCATTAAAAGAAAATTTGCCTCTGTTAGAAGAACTTTTAGACAAAAAAGTAAAATTATATAATTTAAAAAAAAAGATTCCTTTATTTATTTCAAAATAATAATATATCAAGTTAAAAATATCTTATAAATATACCATCAAACCTGTATAATTTGGGTACCATTTGGACCAAACATCTGTTATATTCTTAGTTTAGCAAAAAGTGATGCTCAAGCATTTTCAAATAATTTTTTTTTTATTAATTCATCATATTCATGATTAAAATTATATATTTACGATAATAAACTTATGCAAAATAAGAATGTATAAAATTATAATGCAATGGCTGTATACAAAATAAAAATGAAAATATAAAATTAATTTATACATTGCGTTTGATGTCATCTTTGGATTTGAAAATAACACTTTTTTTTCGAAATAATATTAAATCTTTTAGCAAACTCTTTTTGAGCATTATGATTTAGAAATTTAATAACCCAATTTTTTTTAAATTAGGGATAACTCGTTATATTTGTCATTTTGTTATTTGACATACATAGTTTTAAGAACTTGAAATTTTATAATATAAATGAATGATTGCAACGAAAAACCACAAATGCCTTCATAGTGGTCTTATAAAAATGAACAAAATAATATAAATTAGCCCATTTTTCGAAGTAGGCAGTTGCCTAATCTATCATGACAATTTCTAATATCAATTTAAAGAAATTTATGGCACTTAAAATTTTGGTCAAATTAGATAGTTGCCCAAATTATCAAGACTTAAGATTGGACAAATTTGACTTTATATACCCATAATTGTTTTTAAATACTATCTAAGAACAAATGTAATATCATAATCTCCTAGAGCAGAATGGATATTAATAGCACCAAATTTATCCCTTATTATTGAAACTTAACTGTAACTAACTTCAAACTGGCTTAGCCATGGTTTAATTCCAAAAAATAGTTCTAACCAGGGCTGAGAACCAATAGTAAACAAATAAAAATAAGCTAGTGAAAAAATTAAAACTTACCCCTATTTAAAAGTTAAAAATATGCACTAAAATACTTTATAGCAAAGTAAAACAGGCTCTTTTAAGAACCATAAGCAATAAAACACATAAAAACTGTACAAAAAAAAACTCCTGCAATTTTTTTTATATTAAAATTTAGAGATAATTTCGTAATTTTTTAAAATTTATTTTAAAAAACTAAAAAGAGGAAGAAAAAAATCTAAAACAAAATTTTGAATATTTTCAGATTTTAATCCCAACTAAAGAAAGGGAAATGTCCACCGTGACTTCGGTCCAGTCTGATTCGAATCCCGAAGGACGCTTTTTTCCTACAATAGATCAATTTATATATATTAATTAGGCAAATTATATTATAATTTTCAAGCTTACTTTAATATAAATGAACGGGCCGGATTTTAGTCCTGAACAAATTAGGTAAATTGTTGCCTAAAGCCTTTTATCATCAGTTATTTATTCGTGTAGTTTATTGTATATCCTTTATATATTCGAATTTTTTAAAATGGTTTTAAATACGAAACGTTGGGGAAAAAATTTAATTTTTTCTCATTTATCCGGTAACCAATTTATGCTCTAATTTTTTAATCATGATTTATCTTATTTGAAAGTTTAATCTATATTCTTATGCATAATATTTACCTTTATAGAGTGTGGTAAAATAGTTAATATTGCTTTCTTTGAAAAATATTTTTTTCCCTCCTCAATATAATTATATAATTTAATATTTTTCTTTAATTCGAATGTTGATTAAAAAAAAATCGGACCGAATATAAGAAATAGGTCCAAGCCTATTGTATTAAATTTTTTATATAACTATTTCTTAATTTTGCTTATGACACAAAAGTGATGTAAAATTTAGGCAAAAATTATAAACCATTGCAAATATCGGTATCTGTTTTTTTTTAAATGGATCGGCGTAGGCCCTCTTATAGTGCGTACTAATTGCGCGTTTGCGTTTTGCCATCCTTTTTAAAAAAGAGTAACATTTTATAAAAAAAAATGGAGTATCTTAATTTAGAACAAAAAATGTTACTCTAGAATTATGAAAAAAGCAAACCAGTTTGCGTTTTTGTAAAATAGTTTCTAGCCCTTAAATTTGATCAATTTTCCCTATACCGTTTGAAATATTATTTGTGTTCGCATCGCAGCTTTTGAAACGTTCAGTTTATATGTACTATTACCCTGAATTTCCTATTTTAGCTGGAGATTTATGATTACACTAAAAGTTTAAAAATTGCTAATTTAATCATATGGATCATTAAAAATCAAAGAATAGTATTAAATATAACAGAATCATTATTTAGAGTTTGTACAGGTTTTTTTCTCTTTCAAATATTAGGAATTATAATAATTAAAAATTCAATATAATAAATCTTATTTTATACTTATTATATTATTTTAAATGAGGGAATATTATTATCCTTTATACCAAAATAATAATAATAATTCCAAGGTCACAACAATATCAACTCACACAAAACTCAACTTAGAAAATTTCAGGGCATGGAAGGCTAAAAGACTCAAGATTAAACGAGAGAAAGCTCTCCAAGTGGCTCAAGACAAAGAAGCTAAATACAAAGCCGGAAAGTTGATAGGGCTGAGTGGAAGGGATATCTTTACTTTCGACCCCAGCTTAGGAACCGATGACATTGGCTATATGATGACCAACGGGGTTGACGGTGATTCCCATAAAAATAATGAATTTGATTCGGACGATGCAGTTATGGAGGGAATAGATGATTTGGACGATATATACGATCTCGAGGGATTGAACCAGAGCGTGAGTGTATTTTTATAATGACGTTATTTTTGATTAGATAAATGATTTGTTTTTTAAAGATTCAATTTGTTTCCAAGCCTTACTTATTTATTTTTTTGAATGGGAAGGGGTTCTACGCTAAATTTATAATCTGTTTTTTAAAAAAATATATATATATAGGAAGCCCTCGATAACGAAATAGAACTCGAACTCTCAAACCTTATAAACATGGAAATGAATAAGCCCTCTATAACGAATATCGAACCCGGTTCAAGCTCAAAACAAGAAGAAATATATTTTAATAATAATTTAATCGAAATATTGTCCAAAAAAATTGATTCCACACTTTAGCACTAGCTGCTTTTCGGGGATTAACTGAGATTAACCTTATATACTGTTTAGATAATTGTAATATGTGAAGATATTAAACTTACAATTATTACAATATAATTGGTATTTTATAATTGAAATAAAATGGTAAAAGTATGGATTTAAGAAAATGTATACTTGAAATTAAATATATAATTAAACGAATCATTTATTGTCATACTTTTTTTTTAATTGCAAAAGGAATATTTAAAATGAAAGTTAAAATTTTTTTTATATGGAATTAACCTAAATTATCGATATTACTTTTGTAACACATTATACTAATAATAAGCAATGTTAATCTAGATTGATACATCTTTTAGAGATTGATTCAATTTTGTCATTGAGTTATTATGGGTAGCGATATATAGGGAATTGAAATTAATAAAAATATACCAATAAGATAAACAAACACATCAAGTAAATGGGCCATTCCAATATAAGGAATAATTACCATGTTTTTTTTAAACAATTAAGATTTAGTATTAACGTGACAAATCACCTTTTTCTATTATTAATATTTATGGGCCAATGACCGGCCATATGGACTGAGCTTAAATTTTAGGTAATAAACCTGGTCATGCCTAAAAAAAATTTTTCACCCAAACCAGCTTTGCCGGGTTTAAGAATAAAAAAATTAAAAACCGGGATGGAAAATACAAAAACTTTGTTAAACCACTACAAGAGGAAAATCTTGCCTATGTAATTGCTTTTTATAAAATATGACAATTTTCTTCGAAGTTGAACAGAAATCTCACTTACACTTTCCATAAAACACTATTTCATTTCTCAAAACTTGAGTTCCTATATTTTGATATTCACTTTTATGGGAATTATCCAATTCCCGGACAAAAATTCCCCAGAATTGAAAAAGGGGACAAAAAACCTTCAGTCTAAAATTGTTTGAAATTGGAAAAACTACAATTTATATTTTAAACCATTTTTTTTGAATTTCCGAAAACATTAACATTTTAAAATCTTTATAAATGCTAATATTCTTTTAAAAAAATGATTCAAGGCCCTAAAAATGTTTTTTTTTCTTCAAAACGAGCTAGATTGGTTCCTATTATGTTTGACTAAGTCGGGCCCTGGCCTTTCAAAATTTCTTATAAATTAACACAAGAGATATATACCTTAAAATCTTTATCTAAATACTTTATCGAATTATTAATTGGTAAATTTTTAATAAAATAGATCTTCTATCTGTCCTCTCTTTTCTTGTATAACTGCTTACAATATATTCTTCAACTTATATAATGGATCTTAATTTTTTTTGCAAAATTAAGAGTCAGATTGCAAGAAGTTGAATCGCAAGTAGTCTATTTTTATAAACTAAAGTTTTTCGCTCGTTCCACACATCATAATCCAGTGTATTTAGAGGGAATTGAGCAGATTTTATAAATGTATTTAACAGACAAATCTTCTGTTGATAAAGCATCATGCTAATAAGTCACAAGGGCTTAGGCACACTGGTAAAATCACTTTCAGGTGATTGACATAAACATAGAATATATATTTACCTTAAAATTTTTTTAAAATTTATTTTGTAAAAATTATCCTTTTTGTTAATAAAAGGCGTTTTATAATCAAATATTTGATGACTTAAAGATTTTGTAATATATTTCAATAGGTATAAATAAAAGACCAGTGTGGATATATTTCAATTCAACACAATATTTTAATCGAATCCCGAAAAATTAACCCCCGGAAAAAAACCCCTGGATTTTATTTTATATTTATGGAATTTCCTTAAGACCTAATATAGGTAAATTTTTATTTGGATTATAATGGATATACTCATATTTTTAATGTATAGACAAATTAGTATTTTACAAAAAAATATAGTATATTAATAAGCTAAATTTCTTTAGACCCTAATTCATTATTTAAAGATTACTCATATACCCTCCATAAAAAATGCTTAAACAAGATAAAATTCTGAAATTCAAAATTTAAATGTTTTTTTTCTTATTAAATAAAATTTTAAATGGACAATATTATCTATATTTTGATATTTTTATATGAATGTTCCGAAAGCCGAAACAGAACAATTTTTCTTTTTACCTGAACGGGAATCTAAAAATACTAATGTTCCGGGTCTCTGGTTTGAATCCATCGTTTTTGAAAATTATGAATATGGAATTATTTTAATAAAATTTTAGCTTTTTAGATCTTATTTTTTTTTAAAATGATTAATGAAATTCTAAAAAGGATATGTGTAAGTTTCACCCTTTTATATTAAATAAGAATTAGAGATCCTTAAGTAGTAAATTTTTCATGCCTGGCCTAGTGAGAATTTAGGTTTTGTCCGGCCCGTCCTATTTCTAATTTTTTATGCCCAGCAGGAAACGTTTTTTAAATACAAGGCCTAACCCAAAATAAATGTAGTTGAACACAAAAATAAAAAACTAATTATAATAACGGGAACTGGTTAAATTAAAAACACTGCAGCTTTTTGGATTATCACTTCTATCAAATATAACTAATCCATAATCCGGCCAAATAATTTTTTTGCCCAGCCCATTAACTTTTTGCAGATTTCTAATATGAATCATGAAAAACGAGTGATATCTCAAGTTATAAATAGGGCTGTGCCGATTCATAAAATGTTCACTCCGATTATTACAAAACCTATCAGATAGCCGATGCAGATTCGTTATTTGGAATAATTTTTATATAAAACGAAGAATACAAATAGTAATTATTCGTTTTGTTTGAATGGATAAATTATTTTAATAATTCGTTTATTAGAATATTCGTCTCTAAAAGTTATTGGACTTGTTTTAAATATGGGCAATGTTTATTTCTAAATAATTGTGACTAAAAAGATATTTCTTTTCCTGACAGATAATTTAACAAAAATAATATCTAGTGCTGTAAATACTTTAAAAGAAATGCGTTACTAGTTACATTTGAAAAAGTAACACGTCACTTGTTATTCAAAAAAGTAACGCGTTATTCATACTTAGAAAATACTACATATTAGAGTAAATGTTTTATTTTATATTCCCCATAGATAATAAACAATTATAAAATAATATATTATAAGTTCTTTTTGTAATAATTTTTTATTCATTTTTAACAATTGATTTTCAAAGTTATGATGAGATAAACAAGAGCGCTTAGTGTGCAAAAACTCTCGCGTTGCTAAAAACCCAAAGGATGGATTATATTTAATAAATAAAAATTTTAATTGGGAGAATTTACTAAAAATATTTACAAAATCTTATTAGATCATCTTCATTCAGATCCTCATAATTTTTTTTTATCCATATCAGAATTAATAATTTTTTATTTAATATATATTAACTACCCATAACAATATTGTTCATTCTAACCTCGCCCAAGAGATTGGTCCTTCAGTCTAAATCTGTAATCTCTAAATGGCATCTGCCATTTGGAGTAATTTTCTTGCAAAATTAATTTAATGTAAATTTGGTAGATTTCTATTCTTGGTGTTCCAATCTTAAGGAATTTTTGTTCGGGCTAATTGTATTAGGAATTTTTGCCCAATGATCGAATTATCCATGATTTTAAATTGGATTATTAAGAGTATCATGTTTATTCCTAGGCTTAATAGTTTCAAGGGTGAACATTTATTTAACTTCTTTTGTAAAAAGGTTCGACTTTTGGGAAGATGCAAATGGACCCATTTGAAGGCGTCAATATTTGCATGGCTCTATTTAAAAGATCAATAACTGAATATATAATCATTTACCAATTTTAAAAAATAATTATTAGATAAATAGTAAAAAATATTTTATTAAATGTTTAAAATTATTCGTTTTTAGAATTTTATGACTATGTTAAAAATTAGATAAAAATTTTACTGGACATTGTTTTATTTTAATACAATAAAAATTGAGATTATTCTTAAATAATCGGATATATTCCAATTTCATGAATATATATTTTTTTAATTAATTTTTTACAATAGGAAATTTTTAATTCACTAACCTCATCATTTGAACTCTAATTGATAATTATTTTTTTTTCTCATTTATTACAATCAGGGTTCTGTATTTAACCGGTTAAATATGGTCAAATTCAAATAGATGTTTTGTAAGACAAAATTAACTTTATTTTGTATACAATAGTAAAATAAATCTATAATATTATAATTATATAAAAAAATTTAAATTCGTTGTTATTCAATACCTATTATTTCGCTCTCTGTGACAGAGTCTTATTCTGTTTCATATGAAATATTATCATTATCTTTAATATTTTTTTAAATCAATTTCACTGATGTCGAAATGTTCAATCGATATCTGTTTTAGTAAAAATATCAACCCAAATAGTCCAACTTCTTTCTGAAGAAGAAATAATGTCACTTCTATTAATGTGCATGGTGAGAAAAGTCCATTCTACTAACTTCAGACCGGAATCTGATTGTTTCTCATGGAATCTACTACTTCACACATAATTTGCTATTAAACTGGCCGCTTTTACCTCTGAAATTTATTATATCACTTGAAATATTTTAATTATCACCACTTTGTAAAATGCCCAATTCTTTTATTATATCATACACTTCATTAAATTCACTACTAATAAGATGCTCCCTTGATATTAGGGACCTAAAAAATAAGCAGCATTGTGATCATATGTATTTATATCGTGTTTTCTTTTCCAAACATATTTCTAATTTTTTCTTCTTCATATTTTTTAGATTGTGTTTATTATTTGTACGAATATTCGTATATATAAGCATATTAAAAGAATAATAATAATACACTATTAGAATAGTATTTTCTTATATCTAGTTGAAAATATCAAATCCTTAATTTTTTATATTTTCAAATATTTCTAATTTAGTTATGTATGTCTAATTGTTGGCCATTAATTTCACCTTGAATGATATTAATGCTCCTAACGAATATTTAAATCGAATTATATTTTTTACTTCAAAAATATTATTAGAATAAAATTTTTATAAATTTTGCAGTTTAAAGCTAGTTATCGATATGGGGAAAACCTAAATTTAACTTATTTTTTAAAACTGCAAAATCGAGATTTTAGCCCTTTTAAAAGTAGCGTACTACCGCTATTTGTCAAAAAATAGCGCGCTATCACTATCGTTACCCGTCAAAAAGTAGCGCGCTATCACTAT